GAAATTTCCCATCTGAATCAAAACAGTAAGAATAAAAAAGGATGCACCAAGAAAAACTCTAATTAATGTAACTTCAGTCTGAAATCTTCCTAGGGGAGGAAGATTTCAGACTGAAAATACATTATTGATAGAGCACTAGAGACACATTCAGAATCAAATGAATTAGAATGTGTTCTTATTCCATGGAAAATACCCAGAGATTCCCTAATTGCTGCCTTAATCTCCTCCTGGCTATTGCTTGCCATGATCTGAGAAATGGTTTCACTTAATAACAGCCTTTCCAAAATCTTATTTCTGAAACTGAAGTCTCCTGGATAATCTGAAATAGCATTAAATCACTCACATCTTCTCATGCTTAACATACTGAAGACAAGCTGGATTTTCTTTAAATACAAGATGTTTCATGTAACACTGACTGTGCATTCATTTAGCTGTGGAATTAATGTTGTCCCAACAAGTTTAAATATCCTTCTAGACTTGGGAGATGCAAGAATTGACATGAATTAGCGTTATAACTGGATAATATGAAACATGTAGAATATATTGTGAAGTTTTGAACAACTCTTTCTTGAATCTCTCTCATGAATTATTATTGCTTAAAATAACTAAGTAGAGTGCTTCTTTTCCCCCTTTGCCAGCCAAGAGGTGTTTTAAGTCCTTTTCATGAAACAATGGTAAAAAAACTCAACAACTGTAACGTAAAAGCAATTCCATGGGCTGTTCACAGAGGAAACAAGTTATAAAGAATGAAAAGAAAGGCTAAAGGTATATCAATCAACCCTGTAGCCTTTACTTTTGCTTTAAATATCCATTGGAGGCATATCTATCTATGCTAAAAACCCATCAAAGCTGGTGGATATGCTGCTGTGAGAGCTGCAAGGTCCTGTCCACTTCTATGGAAGTTCCTTGTGTAACTGCTCCATGTTGCACAAACATTCTCTTGGTATCAGGCCCCATCCCAATAGAGCAGTGGTTCTCAACCTGTGGGTCCCCAGATGTTTTGGCCTTCAAATCCCAGAATTCCTAACAGCTGGTAAACTGGCTGGGATTTCTGGGAGTTGTAAGTCAAAACACCTGGGGACCTACAGGTTGAGAAGCACTGCAATAGAGGGTCGGCACCAGGATATATCCAATTCACCTTGGAACAGCTTAAGAGCAGTGGTCTAAAAACAGAGAGTGGGGCTGTCTTGCCCATGGCATTGGATTCACAGGCTATTCCAGAGTGCACCAATAGCTGTACCTATTATGTCCAACCAGTGTGTTAAGCTGCAAGCCTCGAAAAAGTAGTTAAGTGATCTCGAATTGCATCCTGTTCTCATGTTTCTGCTCTGCAGACCATGAATAGGTTATCAAACATAACAGACAAATGTAGGCAATACAGAAGTTCATGAAAAGTCCATTTTTGTTTTTATTTCTAACCCAAATATTGCAAATATACAGAAAAATACCAGTACAAATTTATAATATAGCCAGGCTTATTTACAAACTCTATACATGGCTCCTTCCTTTTAATTCCGTACCTTGCCTCAGACTGTACATCTTAAGAAATTCTGTGCGGAGGGGTGTATTAGCTATGGCTTTTATTATGTAGTATTCTACAGCCATTACGCATATGGTATGGAGTCCTTAAAATCTAGTCCACCCTATGGACTAATTGGGGAGACAATAATGGTTCAAAGCGCATGCAGTGGCAACACCCCCATGGCTAAATTGTTGCTCGGGCAGCACTCTTACAATAAGGAGAAAAAACACACTGTTTACATACATTTTCAACACTATTGGAAAGAAGAGAACTCTTGCCCAGGGCAGCAAGTGTGTGGTAGCCTCCAGGCCCTAGTAAGTTTATTGAGGAAGTTTCAAGTTACTTGAAATATTCTCATATCCACCAACAAGCCCTAAGAGTAGCGCCAGTAGAAATGGAGCATGGCAGAAGGTCTGACAAGACTGCTCCACAACAATAAAATTTCCTCCTTTGTTGCCTTTCAGAAACACTTCAATATATGTAATATGGGAACCTGGACATGTGACTGGGAGAGTGTATAGTTATATTGGAATTATACTGCAGGTTGTCTTATATTTCCGGGCTTATGCCTGGAGATTCAGAAATCGCCTGCATTACAACAGTATGAATTTTCTTCTGTACTAAACAAATTGGACATAGAAAAAATTAAATAAAGAACAACAGCTTTGGAGTGTTGGTGGCAGACATAGAATTATGTCGCTCCTTCAGTTTCAAGTCTGGTTACCATGAGTTTAGCAAACATTAATTCATTACAAGTAACACTTATTTGGATGTCAAATGTACTTTTGTAATGGCCAGTATATCATAAATAACTAGTGAAAGGGGAACAAAAAGATCTATGCAGCTGTTTGCTTACAGCACTTGTCAGACTAAAATGCAGTTGAAATGTGTGAAAACACACAACGCTTTCCTCAAATGCCTCTGCTCCTTTTATTGATCTCTGTGTGTTGAACATAAGGTCTGCATAGGGGTTTGTAAGAATGCTCATGGTTCCTTATAACAGGAAATCTGAAGTGCATTCAGACACACATTTACAATTCCTTGTACAGATCTTTCTGTTCAATGTGCAAAGATGTAAGGGATAGCTGGAGACGGTAAGAGATAAAAGTATGAAGATGAATTCTGCAATTATTGGTGACAAATAGCTGCACAGACTTAGGTTTTCCAGGGATAAATATGCCTCCCCTCCACTTGACTTTGTATAGTCCCCATTGTTGCACGTATCTTTCATTAAGGGACTAAAAAAAATACCATGTAAAGACAACCATGGTACCATGACAACCATGGAAAGACAACTGCACTTTGGGTCATCATCTAATCATTCGGTGGTAGAAGGAAATTTTTTGTCAAAAAGCAAAATAAAGTCAATGCAACTAAAAGAAAAACAAAACTGGGACAAACACTTGGCTTTCAGATATTTTACTCTCTCAACACTTGTCTCTATGTTTCTTACTCTGCCAAAGAAAGAGTCAGAAATTCCTTTAGCAATATACCTTATCTATCTGGGAATATATTTCAGCCTCTGAATATCTAACAAAATCTTCCTTCATTTGATGCAAGTGATCAGTGACAGGGCAATCTTCTGCTTCAATTTGATTCAGCTCTCTCATTTGTCTCAACTGTATGTCTCAACTGTATGAAACATAGGATAAATGGTAATGAGACATATGTTAACAATTTGCCAAACCAGGAACACCTAATCTAACTTTACAAGTAACACTCTTACTGAAATCTGTAATCATTTATGTCCCCGTTGTCATTCTTGCCTCTGTTACAAAGCAAGATGAATTTCCACCCCACACCACAGTCAGTTCAGACTACAATCCAAACCTTTTCATCTGCCCAATCATGAGTAATTCTGACACTGTAAGAGCAGCAGTCAAAGCACCTGAGAACCTGGGAAATATACATATGTTAATGCTTCTTGTGTTTGGGATGCTTACTATTAGTACTAAGTAGTGGAGGGAGTGTGAAGGTTCCCTATAGAAGCCTCTGGTGAAAAGAGCCCACTACCAGGTAAACTTGGGGGAAAGGAAACAGGAAGAGCACAGAAAGGATTTGAGGGGAGAAACTTGACCTTTCAAAAGCCTCCTGCAAGTCATTTTAGGATTTCTTCTGAAAATACACAAGTTTTCCATGCTACCTTTCAAAATAAGCAGAGCTCATTCACCAGTGCTGCTTATAAGAGAATTTCTCCAAAATTATAATTGGAACCACAGATTCTAGTGGATATAGTCCTCAATGGAAGGAAAGAAAGATCTCCAAAAACTAATGGTAGATTTCCACAAAGCAGTTGTCAAGCTCATGGAAAGTCTTCCTCTGCGCAGGTAAGAGCATGTATAATTCTGTCTGAAATATAATGGAAATGAGACTCTTGTATTGGATCTGAACCAAATCCTCAGACATGTACCACCTTGGGTCTAAACTGATCCAGGAAATAACAGAGGTAGCAAAGACTTTCAGATCAGGGGTCTACAAACAAACTGACCCCTTACAGGCAGTGGAAAACAAACGCCAGCTATGACACCAGCTATTTCAATACATGTTTCCATTTATCAAGAAGCTTTTTGTCCCTTTTCCAATAGTTATACTTCAATTGCCAATTGGCATCTCTAAGGAAACCAACTTTTAGCTTAACAATTACAATATTTTTTTAAGATTCAACTCACAAAACTCTGAACTAAACAGCACTTGGGGAAAAATACGAATCCATGTGGGCAATGTAGCACTTTAATTGTCAGACTCGAATTGTATGGGAAAATGGTACCAAAGTGGAGCTTAATTTACTACCATTATCTATTGCTTTCATTAGGACAGGTGCATAGTGAAAAACTGAACACCGAAAAACATCTCTGTACCTCCTATAATAAAACATTCCTTCAAGAACCTGACGTAGAGCACTTCATTTCTGTTACTTCATGAGATCATAACATTCTAAACAAGTCTTGTTTTTAAAAGATCTTAGTCCCACAAAATACAAGATAAACCCACATAAGAGGAGTCATTGTTTTCTTTGTCTTCTTCTTTTGTCAAAGATTTATGGCAGCACATATGCTGGTTTCACAGTTTCGTTCCTTGGAATTGTAGAGCGCAGCCACAGAGTTTGTTTGAGCCTTGGAATATTCTCTGGCTTTGTACAGCACACAACTACCCAGTTGGTTATATTTTAGTTAAAACAGAAAGCAATTCCATTTTGGCACACAGCCCTTTGGGATGTTGTCAGCACCCTCAGTCCTTGCGCCCCAGCACTTCCTTGCTTTGTGTGCTGATGACATCACAGCAGTTTTAAAGCAGTTATCACCACAGTGTTGGAACCACGATCTGAGAATTTGGGCCCTTCTCTCAGCAGCATAACATACTGAACCTAGTAATGCTAATATTGAGTGAAATGTTGCCTTCACATTCCTATTTAGTTCTTTTAAGAGCAGGAAAGAAATCTGATTAAAATAATGTTAACATTTTTTCTCTCCCCCCCCCCTTTTTTTTTTAAAGAAATTTTCTTCCTCTTTACTCAGAGCTACAGACTTCTTCCCCACCCTAACCCCCAATGCAGGTCTTGCAGCTTTGTGGGTTTTGGATAATTTGATGAAGCAATAGGAACACAGAATCCCTCAGACATGAGACAGGCATCGAGACTGGGAGTTAAATGGGCTGTCAGCATTCGTACCCTTCTGTAGCAGCATCCAAACCCCTATGTATCCAATTCTATAAAAGTCTGTGCATCGCTATTCCAGGAGGTCCTAAGCAGAAAAAGAAGAGACAATTATTTTGTTAGCATTTCAAGATCAGGTTCTTCAAAATATTGCTACGGTGAGTGCTTGCCAAACATTCTCTTAAAGGTTTTTAGCCTTGTAATCTCACAAAAACATTCTGGTTACTGTATCTCCAAAAAGCACAAGCCAAAAATCAGATGCTGGAAATCACAACTGTCAGTGTAAATTGACAAGTGCTGCTTAGAAAGGAGTACAGCGTGCTCCCCACACTTATTGGGCAGAATCACCTACCTCATCCGAATCATCATGGTAACCAGTTTTGCTGGCATCTGGGGCATCAGGTCCATCAAAGCCATTAGCTTCTGCATGCTGCTGCAGGACAGAGTATCGATGAACTAGAAACCTGGGGGCATGACAAGCGCAGGTGAAAAATCTTTATTTACAGCTATTCTGCAGAGCAGTTGTATTCACACTATTGTAAAGGCAAAATCTAGATTTCAGAAAGATTATTATTATGTTCATTGAAACCCTGCTTTTTCTCTCTACAAAGGAGACTCAAAGTGGCTTACTTTAAAAGCATTTCAATACAATTTAAAATCCAAAAATATATACATATTAAAATAGAATAAAACATCAATTGTATTAAAAAAAACTTAAAATCCATAAAGCTGATGGTGCTACTGCTCATTTGCAATTTTCTTGGGATAAAACACAACTGGTTTATAACCACATTTGCATATCTTTGAGAAGTGCAATACTAGAATTCAATAATCACTGAATTTAGAATTAATGCAGTTTATTCCATTCTGACATATCAAATGAACTGCAACATGTTTCAGTGTCAAACTAGAAGTTGCAATGCATCAGAAACAATAACATCATGTTTGGAACAATTTAAGAGGTACAGAAGAGTGTCAGAGTAGAAAAGTAGCAAGTGGGAAGGATTGCAACACTTTTCCTCTCTTCCAAATAGAGGCCATCTTCCCCAAGGTTCATTTCAGGAGGAGAGAGAAGAAACATCGGAAAAGTTCAGTGCCTTACATACCTACGTTTTTACATCTATTGTTTGCAGTGGCAGTAGGGCAATCATAGTTGCATCTTATTTGCACCAGATGGAGAGAAAAAACACTCTAGTTTGGACCTGTATGACTCACAGGAACTCAGAGTTTTATTCCTTTTATTGTCTCTTTATTCAACCTGTATCCCTTTTCAAGTCTGAGCTTTCATATCACTAAACTTGCTTTAGAGGTCAATTCATACATTATCGCTGTGGCAGGTAACACAGTAATTGTTAAGGCTTTAAAAGAGGAAGCACAAGGATAGAGCAAAATATGCAATTGTTTCCGAAGAAGGATGGATGCAGAACAGGAAAGAACCACATCATTTGCCCAATCCTTCCAATTCCTTTTCAAATGGTGGTGGTGTAATATATTACCAGACATCATGGGTATCCCTGACTCAACAGTAACAACTGAAGGAAACCTTAGCCTGTTCTGCATGTACATTTATGAAACAGTATAATCTCTCAAGGTAAAACAATTGGAATGTGACTATCACTGAGGCATTCTACCCTTTTCAACACCTAAACTTCTTTCCAGATGTGTCAGTACACAGGCTTCTTGAGTGACTCACTATATTCCACCTACAAAGTGATGTGTAGCACAGCACAGGGCAGACACATCCAAGCTCTCAGAATTAAGTATCCTTGTTTTGCCAGGAAGAATAAAATGTTATTGCTTTGCTTTGGCCAAATGGAGGTGTGGCCTCTCCCTGCATCAACCTCCAAAATCATCTTAAAATACCTTAACATCTCAGATACAACTCTGTGATACTCCATAGTTAGATATTTATTTATTTATTAAAAAATTCTGTGCCCAATAAAGAACCCTGTGAGTCTGATGAGCTTGAATAATGTATTTTGTGTCATTTGGTTGGCCTTACTTATGTATTCACTTTATTTACTTTTTTTATACCCCGCCCTTCTCACTCTGAAGGGAACTCAGAGTGGCTTACAAACTATGGCAAAAATTCAATGCCGCATCACACACATAGCAATAAAGAAAGATCATATAAAAAGGACCTGACTGAGTTGAACAAGATACAAAAGCTAAACCGACAAGTTCTCTGTTATTGTCAAAGCTCTATCAAATCGTCATCATGTTTGTCCAAAGTATGCTCATTCACCTAAAAAAGAAATATTAATAAACGAAGATTCTCTTCCCTGAAAAGAATAAAAACTTGGGCCTAAATGCAACTGCTAGTCCCAACTGGACTATAGCTATGGGATAAATTTGTACATAATTTTCAGCAACTAATTTATTGAGTCTACTCTAGTTTAGGCTCTGAAAATAAATAGTTGTCTACTTTACATGTTGTTACATTTAGCTGTTTGACCAAAATGGATACACTTTGATATCTCTCTCTCAAGGAAGCAATTACTGTATGCTGTCCTAAATACATTTTACCAGCAGAAATTGTTATGGATTGTGTGAGCTCTAATTATGCCATCTCCATATGTTCATTTCGATTATGCTTCTACAATGGCAAAAGAATAATGCCCTTGTCAGATTCCATCCCCTTTGTTTCTTCCTACTTAGCCTCCCAGAAAAAGATGCACACTTTGGCTGATGTATAGGTTATGTTGTCTTTAATCTAGTGATTATGGCAAGCTGTCTAGACTTCCAGCAACAGTAAGTAACAAATATTTTTTACAATAGGGATGGAGAAAGTATTTCCAACAGGTTGCACAAAAACTACTTTTTGAAGCCTGAAAGCCTCCGCAGTTCCCCAAAGTCATGTGAATGATCTCCTAAAATCACATATGTTGCGGGAGTGATTCTTCATTCTAAAATGGTTCCAAATGACAAAAAAGAACCAAATGGGCTTTACTTTCTCCACTTCCTCTGATTCCCGCCCCAAGCATATGGCAAAATAGGTCACTCTAGTGATCCCAGATGCACCAGAGCAGTCTACCAGACAGAAGGTTCTGGGGCCAAAAATTGGCCTCTGTAATTTTGCTGTCTCGTACTCTATAATCGCTGGGTGAGTTTTACATTCCTTCCAGAAAAACCACCTTTGTAGGTCTACAGGTCCTTTCTATGCTACTTCTAGATGTTCAGGGAATGTGACAGGGATCCAAATATCCCAGCCCTGCTCACACAAAGTACTGGAAGAGCTCTCATAACAAATGAAAAAGAAAAAAAAGGGAGAGAGCAATCTGCCATCCCAGTAATAAAGATCTTCAAAGAACAAATTATTTTTCTCTTTTCTAATCATTTTGGTTTATATAAACGACTGACTACTCCCATGTGTGGACATCACTGACCCATTTCCTTCCCATCCTTTGTGCAAAGTCCAGATATAGCCAACCCATGCTTCTTCCTTTCCCCCCATCATTGCCCTAGATCAGGAGAGAGAATTATGTAGGACTTCCAACTATTGGACTGGAAGCCAATGGAATGCTGGAGGATGCATGGCAACAATAGCTGGAGAGTGATATGTTATCCTAGGTCAGAGTTTCTCAAATTGTGCTTCTCCAGATGTTTTAGACTTCAACTTCCACAATTCCTAACAGCTGGTAAGCTGGCTGGGACTTCTGAGAGTTGAAATCCAAAACACCTGGAGGAAAACAGTTTAAGAAATGTTGCGTAGTATATATATGGCAGAAAAACAGATATCATGTCCATTAATGACCAAACAGAATGTAGAGTAAGTGAAAAGGTACTAATCTACTGGAAACGAATTCAAAATAAATTAAACTTAACACATAAGGCCAAAACATGTATATTTATAAGATCAAGTGACTGACTATTAAAAAGCTGTATGTGCCATCAAGTTGATTGTCTACTTATGATGATCCCCAAAATTTCTTAGTTTTCTTAGGTAAAGAATACTCAGAGGGGTTTTTGCCCATTTCTTCCTCTGAACTATAGCCTGCAACACCCTTATAGGACAAAAAAATTGCAGCAGGCCTACCACTTTGTTTTTTTCTCCTTGAAAAGAAAATAATCCTTCTACTCAAATTAGCTGCTTTAGCATCTGTGCGGATGCAAAGTAAGCAGATTTTCTATTTCTGCACTCTTTATAGCAACCTCGTCATCCACCTGCACCCAAGCCTTACCTTCCCCCACAAACATATTTCTTAATGACGACGACTCCAGCTACAGCAGTAGTAAGCATCAAACCTATTACAGCCAGGATGACTGGAGTGGAGTTGGAAGATGTAGACTGCAGGAGAGAAAAGGAATAGAGATGAGTTAAATTTATAGCACATGACCACTGCAATCATTAAGCCTTTTTCTACAATACCTCAAGTATGGAATACAGAAAAGTTGTGAAAATTTGGAATGAAAAAATGGAAATGGGTGAAAAAGCCCATCATTTCTCCATCTGGGGATTTGGCTATGGGAGGCGGGAATGAGGGCATTTTCCCCATAGGAATTCTGTTCACAAATGTAATTCTCCTTCAGTTTCCAATTTCTAGCATTGCAGTCAATTAAAACTTGTTGAGCTTTTGGAAATCCAGTTTAAGAATCCAAAGAAAAATTTGGGACTGCCAAATCTTAAAGCATATTACGAGGCATGTAACTTGGTTGGGATTAAAGAATGGGCAACTTTAAAAGATACCAAACTATTAAACCTTGAGGGCCATGATTTAAGAGCGGGGTGGCACGGCTATATGTGGTATGGCAAAAGAAAAACGGAAAAAAAACTTTAATAATCATTATATTAGAGCGGCCCTAATAAAAACCTGGGAGAAGTATAAACTAAGACTATATAGGAAGGTTCCATTGTGGATCTCCCCAATGGAGGCGAGACATAGAAGAGAACTCGGAGAAGAGAATTGGCTTAAATATAATCAGATCCTAAAAAAAAAATGATGAAGGAAAACTCGAACTAAAATCATTAGATGAAATAAAACAATTAGCCCCCAATTTAACCTGGCTACAACATCACCAACTTCTACAGGGATTCAAAGAAGACGGGAAAACAGGTTTCAACCAAGACAAAAATATTTGGGATAGGATATTGGAAAAAAACAAAAAAATAATTAAAATCTTATACCAGCAGCTATTATGCTGGTATACAGAGGAGGAACAAATAAAGGAACAAATAAAGGAATGTCAAATTAGATGMMCTAGAGATATAAAACATTCTATAATGACAAAGCAATGGGAAGAGATATGGAATATCAAACTAAAATATACAATAGCAAATGACCTARGTGAGAACTGGTACAAAATGTACTACCGTTGGTATTACACACCAGTAAAATTAGCAAAATTCAATAAAAATATTTCTAATAYRTGTTGGAAATYCGAGAAGGAGAAGGGATCCTTCTTCCACTTATGGTGGTCTTGCAAAAAAATTAAAAAATATTGGAACCAAATTCATCAAGCTACCCAAAAAATACTCAAAATAAGTTTCCCCTTAGCACCAGAGACATACTTATTAGGTATGACGCCACAAAAATTAACCAAAAACCAAGATAAAATCCTATTCCTAATAAGCACAGCTGCAAGGATCCTACTGGCAAAGGTATGGAAACAAAAGGATATACCCAGTATTGAAGATTGGACTCTGAAATTGTTTGATATTATTCAAATGGAAGAACTATCTCAAAGAATTAAAGGAACAATCAAGAAGACAGATTGGTCGGGTTTCAAGGATTTTATTAAAAAAAAGGAAATCCCTCTACTTATTGAATTGTCCAATATATGAAGAATAARGATAAGAGAAGTTAAGTCGGAAAAAGGATTTGAAACTACCATAAAATAAAGCAAGGAGGGAACCGGGATGCACCCCCCTGCAAAACAATCTCGGAGAGACATTGGGAAGTCCTATTCGGGTTTGAACTCTTTCTTTCTTTTTTTCTTTTTTTCTTCTTCCTTTTTTTTATTTCTCTTTCCTCTTTCTCTCCTTTCCTTCCCCAACACCCACCGTCACATTACCTTCATTACCTCCTTTATTTTTTCCACTCCACACTATTCTCTGTTTGTAAACTTTGGAAAATTAATAAAAAACTATAATAATAATAATAAAAAAGAATCCAAAGAAAAAGGACAGGCAAAGTTTCTAAGTGAATACAAACAGAACAACTAGAAGAGTTCTAGATGTGAATGATTTTCAACATCTCACTTGATAATTTCAGTTACATTTGGTAACTGAAATACAATCCCATATTTTATTCACTCTATAGCTACATTTCTGACTTCAGTAGCTGATATGAAAAGTTCATTTTTTAACTGCCAGCACAGATACAAGGTAAATTTTCAGAAAAAAGTATTACAAATATTAACTACCAGCAGTCAGTTTTCACAAAACCTTTACAGTGGTTAAAATATATTGTCTGCTTTTGTTCCCTACAGTTCTTTCAGCAACATTTCTTTTTTAACCTACCAACTGGCTTGAGTTCAAGTAGTTGCTTGTACATTTTTTTTTCAAATCAGTCTCTTCACGGGTGGGATTTTCCCCACCAACACATTTGTCTCCTGGAATCTTACGATATCTGGAATTCAGAAAAAATTCAATACGGTATTCAAGAAAGGCTACTTCAAAAATAACAAGATCTCAGGAAAGCAAAAAATGGCTGATCTTCTCATACCACATCATCAACAAGGAAATGTTTCATCATTGTCACATTGGCTAACAACAATAACCTTTATCTATATTCCACCCTATCTCCCCAAGGAGACTCAGGGCAGATTCCAATCAAATAAAAATACAAACTTTCAATGCCAGATAAGTGCCAGATAAAATATAATAACCCAAACTAAGTCTTGGCAAGCTCCAGGTTTTCAAATACTCCCAGAGAAATCTTGATTATTCAACACTGGCCAATTAAAAGGATTATCTTTTTCAGTCGTATAGCACTAAGCTCAAGAATGCATAGACTATAAACTATTAGTGTTCATTGTTTGGTCTTCATTCCTCCACATATTTCAGTAGTGCTTCTTGGGTCCAGAGACTTCAGAAACCAAGCTGATTCTACCCTGAGAAAGTACTATCTTCTTGTCAGTCATACACTATTAAATGAATAGTCTTAAATGAATTATAGACCTCCCCATTTCCCCTGGGGTACACTCATACTGTCACAACAAGTGACATTCCAAGAGGAGAGAGAAAAGAGATTATTCTACATAATACAGTGGCATATTTGAAGATACAAATGTTTTCCCTTAAGGTTTACAGATATTTATTTCAGAAAAACAAATACATATTGCACTAACTCTTCCATCAAGATTCCCTTGTAGTGAACGAGGGATATATATGACATACTGTTGCTAATAGACTACAATCTTACCCCTTGGTCTTTAATCTTTCTTTCTTTCCATATAGACAAAACTCCAGGTCATGACCCTTCAGTTCTGGTTGCTCTGCACATTCAGACTGGTTTTCTGGGCGGAAGTAGCCAAAATCACTGCAGAGCAACAAAATACAAATAAAAAAATAAAAAAAAATATTAGGAGCTGTTCAACAGCGGAACTCTCTGCCTCTGAGTGTGGTGGAAGCTCCTTCTCTGAGACTAAAAACATGGAGAGGAAAAATGGGATGAGGTTCCCAAACATACCAAAGGAAATCATCTAACGTGCAAGTGCAGACAGACGGCTGCTTGGTCACTTTGTAGTCTCGGCCATTCTGACAGACAGAGAACTTGCGAAGCCGTAAATATTCCTCCTTATAACCCAGGATGCACCCATCTGCAGGGTTACTGGGATCACTGGAGTGAGCCAGCCACTTTGTATAATCCTTCTCCTCACCTAAGGAGAGAAGAATGGACAGATTTGTGAGACAGACAAAAGCTACAATTTGGAAACAAACAAATGACTTCTATTGGGTTTTTCCTGCAGAACCTGGTGGTAGAATAACCCACACATTTATGGGTGAATCTGACTCAAATGCAAGGCCTCAACTGCAGCCACGATGGTCCCATGAGCCCTACAACTACCCACCAAACACTGTTTTGGGTGGTACTGATTTACATTGGCTCTGTTCCACCCTGGAAGATTATATCCAGAAGATGGTGCTGGGATCTCGTTCAACCTTGCAGCCTACGGGGTCCCCCATGCTGTTTAAAACCATCAGAAGAGATCATTCAGAATTTTGGTATCCAGTGCCATCAGTGTCTGGGCAACACAAGTTCTATTAGGCCTTCTAATGCCCATCAAACTATTGATGCTATCAGTAAACTAGTGCCTATGCTATCAGTAATGGCCCGAGGTTGAATAAATTAAAACTGAATCCAGAGAATTCAAAAGTGCTCCAGATCAGTCAAAACACAGGTTACGAAATAAGGATTTAGCATATGTTGGATGAAGTTACACTTCCCCTAAAGACACAGATTTGCAGTCTCAGTGTACTCTTGGATGCAACCCTGAGTTAAGAAGCTCTGGTCTCTACAGAGTCTAGGAGAGCTTGTACAGAAGCTGTGTTCATTGCCAGATGTTGGGACACAGTGACAATGCATTAGTTACATCCTATTTGGATTACTGCATTGACTCTATGTGAGGCTTCTTCTGAATGTTTGGAAAGCTCGATATATTTGTTTATTCACTTTATTTCATCATCATCATCATCATCATCACTTTATTTCTTAATTAGTCGCTCTCCACCAAAGTGCTCTGAGCGACTTACAATTTAAAATAGCTTATACACAATATAAAACATTCAATATAAAAACATTCAACATAAAAACATTCAGCAGTGACTATGGCCAAATTTGATCCGATTACTTAAATGCACAAGCAAACAGCCAAGTCTTGAGCGCCTTTACAAAAGGTTGCAACTCCGACATTGCTCTAATATATGGAGGCAATGAGTTCCACAGAATTGGAGCATATATCGAAAAAGCTCTATGCCTTGCAGCTTCCAAATGTGCCTCCCTAGGACCCGGTATGTATAGGAGATTTTCCTGGGTGGATCGAGGTGACCACTGATGGGGAAAAGGAATGAGGCGGTCCCTAAGATATAAAGGTCCTTTATTTATACTCCGCCTTTCTCCCTGTGGGGACTCAAGGTGGTTAACACCCACATAATCTAATCGCAGTTTAAAACAAACCAAATACAAAATTTAAAACAAAATTACATAGTACTGTGTGGATATAAAGTTAAAATACAATTAAGATTTAATATATACAATTAAAATTACCTTTAAAATTCACTAACCCGCAAAATCCCACCCACAACCTCCCCAGCAGCATGCCCCTCATTCTCTCCCAAATGTCTGATTGCAAAGAAATGTCTCAACCCAATTACAAAAGGCAAGCAGGGTTGGGGCCATCCTAGTCTCTCTTGGGAGGGAGTTCCAAAGTCTAGGAGCAGCCATCTAAAAGGCCCTTGTTTCCACCAAACACATTTTAGCAGGTGGTGAAACAGAAAGAAGGCCCTCCCCAGAAGATCACAGATATCTGACAGATTCATAGATATACGGTCATTAAAATGGTTCAGTTGTGCAGCCAGATTATTACCTGGGGATGGTAACAGAGAAGAATTCTTACATATGTAGAGATGTATCTCAAGAACTCTGCATTCTTCAATAGCAACTACATCAGATGCTCCAGTTGTAAAACTATGTACTAATTTGCAAAAACAGACAATGCAAACCATCTGCTAATATTTTATTAAGAAAAGAAATATTACTCACAGTCTCTGCTGAGCAGATCATTAAAATCAATAGTATAGGAGATCCACTGGCGGGACAGGAAGCTCTCTTGAAATCCCCAGATACTAACATTCATTGATTTTGCTCCCGGTTCTGATGCCAATCCAGTAAATGTTATTGGATCATTACAGAAAACATAGTTGTGCCAGCACTGCCCTTCATCTGTTGAGAACCTAAAACAGAAAATGATTAAAAATAAATGTATCATCACTGTGGTTCATTTAAGAGCACCAGAAAATCTCATAAAAACATTGACAGGTATCCCAAAATATTGAAGAAGCAACAATGGGTCAAAGGTATGCTAAGTCAAACTACACACTCACTGGTCAAAGTATACAGGAACCTGATTGCATGGCAGTTGTCAGAAGATTTGCAGAAAAAGCAGGGCAAGGTTATTTAAATCCTTTTTAGCTTTCTGATTTTTCCTTACTCACGAGTTCCATGTATTTACCACAGGGCGACTTGGAAGGCGCTGAACAGACTGCGCTCTGGCACCACGAGATGCAGAGCCAATCTTAAGAAATGGGGCTACAAAGTGGAATCCACGACATGCGAGTGTGGAGAAGAGCAAACAACTGACCATCTGCTGCAATTCAACCTGAGCCCTGCTACATGCACAATGGAGGACCTCCTTGCAGCAACACCAGATACTGGTCAAAGGACATTTAATCAACTACCAAGCTTGCAAACTTTGTGTTTTGTCTGTTTGTTTGTTTGTTTGTTTTGTTAAAAATATAATACAAATGTCTGGTTGCTGCTGACACGATAAATAAATAAAACCACAGACTAAGCCCTTCCTGCTCTGAACTAGAGCTCCTTTTTCAAAATTATACACAGAGAGAAATTTGATCTCTTCTGAAATGAACTGTCCAATGCAAATGATTCATTCTAAGGCTGGTTCTGCTAATCTACACCAAGGTAGACTTCCACCTGTGCTTCGAGATTTCTGTTCTTCCTTAATGAATGTTTCTTTTGTGAAAAGGGTAAGTAATAATGGGAAAGTACAGAGGGTTACAAATGGAACATGATGGCATCAATAAGTGTTTTGGGCAAGACAGTTCCAGGGTGAAAGCCTGTTCTTCTAATTTAAACTAAAGGTGGAATGTTCTACCCATTCTAAACAAAAACCAGTACAGTCTTGCTTCATACTACTTTACAGAGACAGCTCCTAAAACAGCTACAGCTAGTGATATGGTTGTCAGGATTAGCAAAAGTGAGTTCTTACATACTTAATCGTTTTGATAGGATGATGTGTATGCTCAACAGCCACGATAATGCCCCCAGAATCCAAGATGGCATAATGGTGGGGTCCTTTCAGCATCTGTGCCCAGGTGTAGCCACCATCATCCGAAATGTAAACATCTGGGTTTGTTATTGAAATGGCATCTCCAACACTTCCTGTAACATAATGACCAATATCACTGATCTGAATCATTACAGTTTTCTCATGACAGTCCACCATATTTGTTGCTCCCAAATTTCATCTAGCCTTGCCAAGCAAGTAGAAAGAAAAGCTCAGCACATAGCTCAGACCTGTGAAATGCACAAGTCGAGGGAAGATCAAAAATAATTTCTCAACAGTTGCCCATTATTTCACTTTGTATTAAATGCACATCATATTAATTAATTACCATGAGCAATGATGATGCCAACAGCATTAGGTTCCGACAGAGGTGGCATTGGTACGTTCAGCTTCTGTGAGATGCTGTAAGATGCATGGATGTGAAGGCTGCACTGTAAATATAAGATGTACCAATGTTTATATAGTGAGATACAATGCAGGAGTACAACAAACCTGGCCTCATTAAAAGCAGATGTACTGTAGAAAATGTAGCTTAAGTCTCAGCAAATATGTTGAATGGTACAAACTCAAGGCAGACTGAATATAAGCTCAAAGACACACTGACTCAGAAAATGTATTTGCAAGAGAATACTTCTATGGCCCAAAGCAGATTTCTTCACACATAATCATCCACTCTATTTGCAATATTAAAAAGAAGTTACATTTTAAACTGTCTTCACCATTTGCTTAGATTAAGTCCAATTTACAGTCTAAAAAATTACTATGATAAAAGAGAAGTTTCTAGACTATTTTAGAAAAGATTAGGAACCTTATAAATGCAATGCTTATAACTGCCGACAACAAACGTGAACAAATAAACATCAAACTGAATTGGATAGCCCCGGCCTCTAAAGAAGAAGAGAGATACCGAAAAAATAGCAAAAATGTCATCATCCAGCCTAAACAAACAAACTTCAACTTGGCTCCTTCTTTGGAAGCTTTTAAACAGAGACTGGATGACCATCTGTCAGGGGTGCTTTGAATGCGATTTTCCTGCTTCTTGACAAGGTTGGATGGCCCAAGAAGTCTCTTATAACTCTATGATTCTATGAGAAAGGCTGACTTGGTCAAGGAAGAGGAAGAGATGAAAGATGAAAAAGGAAGCTAGTTAAGCCCGGTAAAAAGAAAACGGTTGGACGAAGAGGAAAAAAAGAGAATTAAGAAGATACATGTACAGAATGGACCCCGAGTTGTGAGCCAGAAACAAGTAACGTGGTCAAACAACAAGGATATCAAATGTTGGGAGTGAATGCAAAACTGGCAGGGAACCCAAAGATGTTATTAAACAATCTTCAATACGAATTGGCAAAAACAGAACCTTTTAAAAGCAGATGCAAAAAAAGAGAGAATTCCAAATGGAATTAACAATTCCAGAATTAATTGGAAGGGAAAAATAGGGTGGGGGTAATAATCTATTTGGCAATTTAATAAAAAAATAATAAGAATGTTAAAAGTTTTAAAGAAGAACACAATATTAAACTTGATGATCAAAATTTGAAAACAGGTATATGTATGTAAGATTCAGAATGTTATCTTAAACCTGACAATCAAATCCCTTGTTGAAAAAAAATTGGATAGAAGGATAAAGATATATAGTAGATATAATAGATTCTTGTTTATGGAAAATAGTATTTCTATTACAATAGAGTCTCACTTATCCAACATAAAGGGGCCAGCAGAATGTTGGATAAGCGAAAATGTTGGATAATAAGGCGGGATTAAGGAAAAGCCTATGAAACATCAAATTACGTTATGATTACATTATGATTTTACAAATTAAGCACCAAAACATCATGTTTACAACAAATCAACAGAAAAGGCAGCTCGATACACAGTAACGTTATGTAGTAATTGCTATATTTACAAATTTAGCACCAAAACAGACAAAAGTTCTTTCTTTCTCCCACCCTGGACTGCATTAGATAATACAGAACATTGGATGAGTGGAGGTTGGATAAGCAGGACTGGAATACTGGAACATGATGTTGTACCTCGCCTCAAGCCACAGGGAGAGGAAGGTAATTATTATTATTATTATTATTATTATTATTATTAGTAGTAGTAGTAGTAAGCAAGTAAGTAAAATGTAAAGCAGGTAGCCAAAACTGTAGCCTTGACCTAACAATTCTGTTAGCAATTCATTTCTGCCAAAGGATTGAAAGACAAACCTTCTCCTTATTTTTGGCTGTTGAATCACACTTTGCATTTTCAGGTTTTTTTAAGTGAACCCACTCTCCTCCTTCATCAAAGGTAATCACCGACTGAATGGAATTATCTGGTTTAGGAGAGGAAAAAGCATATGTATGTTTTTGTGCAATATACTCCATGTAACACACTTCTTATTTTATTTCATATCCAGGACATATAGCTTATGCTATTTCCAGCATTCAAGAAAAAAAGGTTTCTAGAAGGAGAGATCTGAACTATTACAAAACTTAGGAACATTTTAACAACATAGTAGCAGTTTTATCATTTTCCTGAACTGATAATAGAGAAGTGTTTCTGTGTTTCTCAGACCAGTTATCAATGTAGAAATAACAGCCTATTGAGCAACTTAAAGTGAAAAGCGGGGTGCAGGATACTAGTATGGTATTAGATACTGAGGGCCCTTCCACGGAGCCCTATATCCCAGAATATCAAGGCAGAAAATCCCACAATATTTGCTTTGAACTGGGTTATCTGAGTCCACACACCGATAATGTGGGATTTTCTGCCTTGTTATTCTGGGATATAGGGCTGTGTGGAAGGGTCCTGAGAAAAACACTTTAATGAAATTAAAATATAAAATATCATCTGCATTTTTGCTGGAAAATTTAGATAAACAATGACACAGTTCTTCTAAAGTCAGTAATGTTATTTTCTTTGTTTTTTTAATAAGAAGGCCACAATTTCCATCATTAGATATAATCAAATTGTCAGCCTTGACGCACAGCTCCATGACCTTCTTACTTAAACAATCTAAAGACATTTAAGCTCAGGGTAAAACCAAATACTACAGGATCAGACATGAACAAATAACTGTAATTGCATGAACAGATACTATTAATCATTTCCCAACTTCAATGTAAACAGAATGGGGATCAGAAAGTAAGACAAGCAAACAATCTCAAGCTAAAGGTGGAAAAAGTGCAGTGCCCTGACTATGTTTTTTAGGGGTTTTTTTTGGGGGGGGGGGGGCTTTGAAGCACGCACCAGATTTGCACAACCTGCTTAACTCCATTCCCTTTGGAAAAGAAAAAAAGGGATGATTTTCATCTATACATCACATAAGAAGTCCTCCAAAAATGTGTAAACAATCACAAAACACCCCATGCACACTCTGATACACTATATTCCAAATACTTCTGTTACTTCTGATTGCTATTTTGACTGAACAAGAAAAGCAGGCTTATTTTGGCATGTGGGGAGGGTGTGGCACACAAGCAGCAGGCAAGTTTTTGTGCCCCTGCCCCAGTTGACTATCCTGTTTGCTAGATACAGTTAAAATTATGTTACCAGTTCTGTTGGTTTAAATATTTAAGAGAGAACTGAAGTCAAAATAATCTACCATATTTTATTGAAAAATAGTTGCCATCGCATATTAGTTGTACCCCCTTTTTTGAGTCCCAGTTTCAGTATTTTATGATTCCTCACATAAGTGTTGCCCTCTTGATTTAGGCAGCCTTCCCACTGTAAACTGCCTAGCATTCCCTTCTACTAACTCACCCACCCATTAGCCTACTCACCCACCACTTCACTCTTATTTGCCCACCCATCTTACCTTCTGAAAGCACACTTGTGATGTAGATGCCTCGCAAGGAGGTCACATTGGTGAAATCGGTCTCTCCTCCAGTGGTTGTGTAAAGGTGTCGTTCTAGGGATTTGGAATAAATGATGCCTTGATCATCAGAGGTGTAGATTGTTCCATGTCCGGTATCTGCAAGAAAACACAGCAGATTGCAAGGGTCAACGGATCAGAGTTACATGCAGCAAGACTGTCGACTCAGTTCTATAAATATCCACTCTTCAGTTCAAGGTTATCATGCCTAGAAAGCTATCTGTAGGTGATCTCTTTCCATTTCACAGCAATGCAGAAGTAGAAACTATTACAAGAAACTGAATTAGAAACTAAATGAATGAAGACTATTTTAATGTGAAAATTGGCCAAAATTCATAACACTACTAAGTCTGGCAATATCAAAGGCTTGCAAGAGTAGTAACTTGAGAGTTTTCTGGCACTCAGTTTATTGGCGAGTAATACATATTCTGTACCACTTTGGCTCAAATTGACTTATTTAAAAAGCTTGTTCTTTTTTGAACACCACTTTTACAATCCAAATTGAACTTCCTGCAATGTAGATGTATTTAAGATTGAGCATTACTTATCCAAAAAGCTTGGAATCAGAAGTGTTTTGGATTTCAGATTTCTTTGCATTTTGGAATACCTGTATTCACATAAATGCATAATGAGGTAACTTGGAGAGACCCATGCCTAACCACATATGTTTCATATACATTATATACACATAGCCTGAAAGCATTTCATATAACACTTTTAATACTTTTGTACATGAAACAAAGTTTGTGCATACTTAATGATCAGAAAGAAAATCTGTCACTATCTCAGCCGACAGCATGGACGATTTTGGAGTATTTTGAATTTCATAATTCCTGATAAGTGATGTCAATCTATATACATAATTCATCCTGCTTTCTCTCTCTCACCTCCAGGTTCATCAACATGCATAAACACCATGTCATCATTAGCTGCCAAGATTGAGTAAAACTGCTCTTGTCCCACTGAAGGAAGCTGGGCCATGTTCCAGGTTTCACCTTGATCCAGTGATACGTGGATTCGCCTTGTATTACCCTAGGGAACATAAGAATATCATTTATTTTCTAGTATCACCACACTAATGCCTGGGCAGATACCTAATATTTATGCAGGCAGCTAATCTTAATAAAACAAACAAAAAAGAAATATCTCCCAAAAGTTAATATATAGTATTATATAGAACAAAAATCTCCCCTAATCATAGGCCTAACATGTACTGGGGTGAGATCTCTAAAGTACCTTTCTCCTCATATGTTGAAAACCTACTCTAAAAAAATAAACACAAAAAATCTGCTGCAGCAAAAATAGGGTTGTTTTTTTCAAGTTACTTCTTCTATTTTATTTGGTAGAGAAAAGTTAATCCTTGAAGATCTGCTCTATCACTTCAGTGTCTATAAAGATAATAGAATCATATAGTTTAAAGCAGTGGTTCCCAACCTTTTTTTGAGCAGGGACCACTTGACCAGGGACCACTTTAACCTGAGACCACTCTCCAACATTAGTACTAAAAGGGTTATGAATCAGTTTTTGGTCAATTTTAGATTCAGCTTGGTTATTTGGGGTGCTGATTCAGAAAATTGCATTGGATATACCACATCAGCTCTAGTTTCTGATACAGAACATAAGCCAGCTAATAGGCACCATCTGCTTGCCCACAGAAAACCATATTTAATAATCTAGAGCTGATGTGGTAGTAGTAATCTTTCATGGGTACAGCCTCTCCCCTCTCAACATACCCGTTCCCTCAGCACTATAAGAGGGTTTCGCAAGACCCATCACTCTCGTTGCCACGTGGTTTTAAGGCAACGATTTAGTAATGGTGAGGGTGCGGACCATATTTTCATTCTTGCAGGCCACTTGTCATCCATGAACCACAGGTTGGGAACCACTGATTAAAAGAGACTACAAGGGCCAGCCAGTCCAACTCCTACCATGCAAGATGTCTGTTAACATATCAACAATTTAATTTTAAAATCTTTGAATGTTTATAATTGTTTTAACTGTTGTGTAATTATTATTGTTTAATTTGATGTTTGGCATCTAATGGTTGCCTATTGTAAAGCCACCCTGAGCCCCCACTCAGGGGTGAGAAAGACAGGGTACAAATGCTTGAAATAAAATAAATAAAACATTTCTTAACAAAAAAACTTCATTTACTTTTTGGATTTATAGTACACTTTTCCTCAGCAAATTTGACTAAAGCCAGCTAACAAGGAAACTGAACAAACAAAATAAAAACATAAAACAAACTGCAAAATGTAATTCAAAACAAATCAGCAAAAGAAATAAAACATTGTTCGTTTTCACGATGATCTTTTAAAAATGCTGTCTGAGTAGCTTTATCGAAAGCGAGGTGCATTTTTGCAGCATTAATGTTATGAACTAGAGCTTCACTCAGATCTGTCTACGTGCAGGCTGAAGTTTAAAAATTAACAAAACACAGAACATCATGATCCAAACAATACACTCTCTTTGCTACACATCCATTTTAAGTACTTAAATTTAAGCTTAACTATATGGTTCACAGGAAGTCCACCTCCTACCTTTTCTGTCATGACAGATGCAAAGAGGAAGCGTCCACCCAGGCCAAAGGAATAAATTTTGTTTCCTATTGTCTTGAATGTCTTCCCAAAATCTTTGGTTCTCTTCAACTCCAGTAACCCAAGGTCAGCTTCTTGAGCAGAGGAAGTACACAAATTAATACTGTTTTGACTTAAACAGGCAGGTAAGTCCTATGTTATACAATATTCAGAGAAAGACAGCTTCATACATCAGAGGGGCTATGATCCCACACTAATGGCCTGGTCTCCATAGCCATGCACTCCTTCTGCCCCACTTCCTAACGTCCATGCACAAAAGGTGAGTCTCTGTAAAGGAGACGTTGGGGGCAGGAAGCTATTCAGCTGCAGGTATGGAGCCTCACAGCTACTTCAATCCACAAAGCCCTAACTGTACAGATACAACATGAAGGAAACAATAAGATAAACCAAAAGAGCAGCTGAAAAGAGTAGGTCTATGACTAGGATTATAGAGTGAAAAGTGGAGATGGCTCATGTACTCTTAATGATTGTATAGAAGAAGAAATTTCAGTTGATGTAACTTGGCTGCAACAGCACAATCTGGTAAATCTACAGTCACACTCTCTTTATTTAACAACTTTGTATACTTAAACTAGCTGCAGGGTTAACTTGTAACAATAAAATAATTACTCTCAAAAATAAAATAAAATCCAGATTATCTGAACAGAAGTAAGACAACCAAAAGAGCAAAACATTGAAAGGTAATATGTAACAGTAACAACAAAAAATGAGAAAGAAAGTGTGATTGTGGGCAAATGCAAAGGTCTTTACCTAGCCCTAGAAACAACTTTAATGCCTGTTGAGCCTATAAAGAAACGACATTCTCTGTATCTCTCTCTCACACACACATATCTGCAAAATATTGTTGGTATAAAATGTACCACATGCATAAAAACTTTCTTTACTGAATTGATTTACCAAATATAATTATTTATAAAACAACCACATTAATAAGTCATGGGCAGGTTTGGGGGGCAACATTTATGGATTTTGATGTAATTTGTGAGTACATCAAGGACCATCTTGCAGAGAAGCAAAGTGTCAGTGCCTCTTCAGGGCCACCCCCATTTTCCCAACCAGGCACTCAAAAAGGCCAGAAGCAGCACCATGGAAGGGAAAGTAGAGGAGATTGATGATTCTTCTTTGGGATTATACTAAAGACAGCTGAAACCCACCTTTCACTGCTCCACTCAAGAGAAGGGGGTGGCTACTTTTTTGAGTTAAGATGGAGTACTTATATTAAGCAGTGGATAAGTCAACTCAGGTTCTTTGAAGTGATGCTTTTACTGATTTTTTTAGACTCATACCCAATATTTATTGGGTTGAGAAGCTATTAAAATCTCTATAAGTATGCTATGGATTCGAAAGAAAGGCCTATCAGTCAGGGGTGACTGGTGGCTTTGTTTTAGGTTTTAGTCTGCATTTTACTGGACCTATTCAACTATTCTCCATAAAACATGTTCACAACCTTGGACAGTTCCAGTCTCAACACAGATTCTCCATGCCACTCACATGGAAGCTGCCAGTCATCACTGCTATCAAACTCATTGTTTCATTAAGACCTGCACAAAAGGCTCTAAAAGCCTGCCTTGTTGTATATTGAAACTGGAAACACTTACTACAAGAGCCATTCAAGTATGTGGTAAAGAAGATGGTTATGCCTGGGCCCCTAGAAATAAACAAGGGAAAATAGAAATATTACTTATAGCGTGGATAAAAGCTAATAAAAACCCAGCATTTTGCCTCAGTAAACAGGATATTAATTGAATAGTTATGATATGCTACACAATATTGAACTAACTTTCATTGTTATTAAAGATGGAAATTGTGTCTCACATAGAACCCAGAAAAGTCTATCATCCCAAAATACTGCATGTTCCATGCTTCAGAAGTTAATAAGCAAAACTCTTTCCAGAAACAGCCCAAGGCTTTTGCTCATTGTGGGGGAAGCACACAAGGTACAGCTCCCACATCCTGGGACAGAGTACCTGTCTGTCAGGGCAGTTATATTTTTACTGTTGTTAATTTGTCATCAGATGAACTTCAACTTGCAATGCACCCATGAATAAGAAACCTAAATGAGTCCTGGTCACTAACAACCTTGCTGAGGTCTTGCATACACAGGGCCCAATGTGTTCTAGCTAACAGATAACTGTATGGCTTTCTTCATAGGAAAGAGGTTTAGAAATCTCCATAAGAAATTCAGAAAAGTCAGTTTCTAAAACTTACACACTTTTAAAAAATCCATACAGCATGATTTTCATCTTCCCTGTAAAGGTCATGAAAATGTTTCTTAGTCAATAATAGATAGAGCTATTTCCTGAAATAATATGTTTTCCATATTCCCAGGGATTGCATTTCTCCTTCACTGCAATGTTATTGTTCACTGTTAATTGCAAATACTTATGGCTATATTATTTCAAGGAACTGTCACATATGGATCACAGTGTAGTGCCATCTATGTAGACATCCTTTTCAGCCTTTCTGAAAAGTGAGTCATGAAATATCAAGGATTTTATTTAAACTGGAAAAATGTGCCCTGTTGCTAAACAATTCTATTATTCTCCAAAGTGCCCCCAAGGTGAAAATTATTGTTAATTGCAACATTTAACATGTAGCTACAAAACTAGATCTTTGTATAGGGTTCAAATATATAGCAAGAGCACTATGTATTCTTTATACTGGTATTGTGCATACAAAGTGTTTAAAGAGTAAAACTGACAGTATACACAAAAATGTTATAGAGATGCTTCTGAAAAGGCAAATTAGTACAAACATGACCATAGCTTTCAAATTACTTGTCTGGACTATGGAAAAGGCATTATAATAATTTATCACAAGGATATTCATCCTTCAGTTTTTGTGAACAGACATTTCTGATGTAAGAAAAAAAAATATTGAACTAGTAACTCTCCCTGGATAGTATGTTTGCTTTTCAGCTGCTCACCATTTGGCCAGGCAAACATCTTTGTGGATTTCTTTCCATATTTCACCAAAATTCTTGGATATCCACAGGCTGCCCTGAAACATTTAGAAAATATTGCTTATAATTTAAGGCACCACTTTCAAGATCCAAACACTAACTTTTACTAATATTTAGCCCACCTTTTCATTAAAAAGTGTGCAATCATTTCAATTGCCTTCAATTTAATCTAATTGTTAAAATGTATTTGAACATAGGACAATATGGTAATGAGAACAATAAAAGAGGAGGAGCATAAAGAACAATAAAAGAGGAGGAGCATAAAGAGGAGGAGTATAAAGTAATGCATCAGAAAATTAAAGTTTTCATCTAAACAAGCCAAATGCTTGCTGCAAAAAAAATGCCTTTGCACAGCAGTGGAGGAGGTGACAGAAAGTTTCAAAGGATAGATTTCGGTCAGAAAAAGCCCTGTCTTGCATCACAACCAAACACAATGCAGGTGCTGGTAGGATAAGGAGAAAAACCTTCACTGGGTATTTTGACAAGCAACAGACTCCTATAGAAGAAAATGGACATTCAAAGTGCTCTGGCTCCAAATTGTTGAAAGCCTTAAATCTCAGAAACATCCCTTTAGAACAAACTCAGAGAGAGACCCAAATGTTATCCTCCAAATAACCACCTAGCAACAACAACAACAACGAGATTCAAGGTTAATGGCAAGAGCAGAGGTTCCCATATTCCAACTCATCCAGGGACTTACATTTCCTTAAAGAAGCTTGTTTTGGCTGTAACGTATGCCTCAAAAAGAATTATTCCAGAAAAGAACTATACATTGCCAGTGCAAAAAGATTTGATAAAGGCAATTATATTTCCCAAGTTCAGTGTAAAGTTGATGCCTGGAATAACTCACCTCATAGTACTATAAAGCTGTTGTTTTTATAAAACATAAAAATATCCCTGTTCAAGCCTTCACATGAAATTTTGAAGAGCCAAAAAGATGGTGAATCACTTACTCCAATATAGGCCCCACTCTCCAAACATCCTTACATACCCAACAACATTTAAGACCACTGTATATTGAACATAATGGTCTGAAAAGGGTATTTTAATCACACTTGGCAGAACATAAATACTGAGATCTTGAAGAATCTTCATAAGGCAAGGTCTCTTATGTTAGAAAGAGCCTCTGATATTGCATCAACAACCTGTATATCTGCCCACATCTCCACTGCAAATTTAGGCCTTCACATATGCAGACAAACACCTGAAGAGAACCTATGCTATTTGCAATCACATCAGAATGGATCAATCAGGAGTATGTCCTCACACATACACACATACTGATTTCTTGGAGCCCAGAATCAAGGCTAAGGATATCACATTAGTGAAGAAATGAATAAACAGACTATTCAGATTAGTCTAACACATCGCTACCATACTTACCTCAGTACTGAGGGCTAACAACAAATCAGAATTCTCAGGGTGATACATTATTTGTGTCAAAGGATGAAAAGGGAGATCTGTCAGTACAAAGTTTTTTGCAAAATCAGATGATCTGAAGATTCGGCCTGTATGTTCTGATCCAGATCTGTCCCCTGTCAATATAACCTGGACAGAAATATACAGAGGAGGGTCATCTCTCCAGTTCTAAAACATGGCATGGACTCACATTACCAGTTTGACATCAAAACAGACATTAGCAGAAGCTCTGGGTGCATGTTTAAAAAAGTGTAATGTTGAAGTACACAAATCTATATCCCACAAGAAGCTTTAGTCAATCATTCTCTCAATGTCCCAATGTCATTTTAAAAAGTTCCAATAAAAAGCATACAGCAAAACTAAACATTCAATTGCATAGGATGATAAAATGCTAAGTTACTTTCAGATATTATCTTTTATGCTTTTGTCCCTTGTGGAATTCTGTACTACAAAGAAACTGTTGCACTATGCTATTACTGTATAGCTCCACCCCAATTAAAAACATTAGAGTGATTTTAAAAAGATTTAATCACCCAACTCATACCCCTTTACAGGTAAAATGGGAAGAAAATTCTATCCATAAAGCCCAAGATCAGTCTTGATTACCTACAATGAAGCCCGTGCTGTATGGGTATAAACATTTCTTTTGTTTTGGCAGCAAATTATTGCAGGAGAAGATCTACCTAAGCACCAGCACTCCTTTGAGTAACAGACACTCCCTACGCAACCAAACTTAGTAACACATTTCATACAATGCACTACAGAAAGGGACAGGAAAGAAAAGATTATATTTAAAAGGAACATGTTCTGCTAGGGATAAAGACCTGCTCAAGCAAGCAACTCTGGGAAATTCACCGAAACAATGCCCAGAACATTGGGTTACTGTGTAGGCATTATAATGATTGATCTAATCTAAAACCTGGTAATACTGTCCAAGTAAGTAATTTACAAGTGGAGACAAAGGAATATAAAACAGGATGGTATTTCAGAGTATTATATAGTGTGAGTGGAAAAGATGTAAAACACATACAGCGAATCTTCACTGACAAATTAATGTAGTTTGGCCTCACTTTAATTGTCATGGTTCAATGCTATGGAATCTTGGGAGCTGTAGTTGGGTGACTCTACAGAACTCTTTGGCAGAAAAGGCTAAAGGCCCTGCAAATCCCAGGATTCCAAGGCAGTGAAAGTGGTATCAAACAACATTAATTCTGAAGTGTAAACACACCTCATAGTCAGTGGTTAGGATTAACAGGAGTTGTAGCCTGACAACATTGGGAGTTCCATATGTACTCCAGCCCAATGTAAAGGATAGGACTACATTTAGTTTCCAAAATAACAGTGGGCTCTTCCTACCTTTCCTGAATTCTCAGGTCCAATAGCCATTCCAAACTCTGTTCTGATGAAAGTGTTGTTAATAAGATCCGTGATGTCCATGAAAGTTTTCCCATAGTCTTCACTAAGATTTCAAAGAAACATATGATAATTTTTAAAACTGAATATAAAGTTATTGTTGAAGTCCCTATTTGCATTTGGAAGCCTCTTAAAACATCTAAGCACAAAATAAATTACAGGAAGGACTGGAACATAGAGATTACTTAACTCTTACATGTTGTAGTTTAATCATGAGGAGAGCAATGTGTATACAGTACCCCATCATGAGCTTGAGAACTTTTAACATAAACACAAAATCTCCACAAAAATTTATAATGGAGTAAATCACCCTTCAAATACCAATGTTGCACATGAGGATAATGTTGTTCAAGGATTTCTCTTTCACTCTTCATGTGCTTGCCATGATGGATAATGAAGCCACAGATTTAAAAATCAATCAAAATTTATGCAAAAGCATTTGATCTAAAAAGAGGGACTGGTAAGCACAAAAGGCACTGTGTGCCATTAAATACCTACAGGTATTTAACCATGTGGGGACATGAGAGAAAGCCTCCCACGAGGATGGTAAAACATCAAAACATCCAGGCGTCCCCAGGGCAACCTCCTTGCAGACGGCCAATTCTCTCACACCAGAAGCAACTTGCAGTTTCTCAAGTCACTCCTGACACGACAAAAAAAAATACCACAGGGGCAGAACGGACTTTGCCTCACATTTGAAAGACAATAAATACACCACCACATGAAAAAGGGAGCGGCATACAGTTCAGCACTCCTATATTTAAAGAGCCTCTACACAGCAACTGTATTAATGCAAACCACACCTAGAAACCGATGCAAAACATATCATAAGAAGGCTTTTCTTTAGTTTTGCTTTGTTTTTACTTCCATCTGACAACCAACTGCAGGTAATATAAACATTTTGACTTTAGTTGGGGCTAGTCCATGGACAAAGCATGAGGAATGGCAAGAGGGTGGTGAACACATCCAAAATGTGTCCTGGCTCTAAGTAATGAGTCCACACAGGGCTCATAAGTGACTTTTTAAAGAAGGTGGTAATACAAAAGTCCACCCTCAGCTTGCCTTCTGCTGTATGCAGGCAATCTGAGGATGCTTCAAAATATTTATATTTAGGATCTGGCAGTGAATCCAATAAAGCAAATATTTATGGATTCAAGAAAGGAGGACCACAGTGTGTGCACAGTTGTAATATTCATACCTTCGATAGAGTTTAGACTGTCCAACAGTAACAATTAGCAGTGGTACCTGGAATGTGGTCAACACAAGAATAACCTGGAGGGAAGGAGAACAGCCTGTTAGTTTTGATAGACTTAAGAGAACAGCTGGCACTTGCACAGTCTCAAGACCGGAAAACTCCTATCCCAATAAGGATAGAATTGCACTTGTCCTACTCCTAGGATCTCCTTTTACTTCCTGAGACAACTCTGTTGGACAAAATTATATCTACCTGATATTCCACCCTCTAACATCAATCACCCATTCCATTTGTCTTTCTATGTAGTGTAGAGAAAGGCGCTTGGTGGTTGCACTTTTACTGTGGTCTTTCCTGGCAGGAAAAGTTGACAACTGCATGAAGCAACCTCAAAAGCATTTCTTGAGAACTGTTTCTCCAACCCACAACTGAATATTGAGATGGCTTCACTTCCCACTGTCCTTTCTCAGCTCAAGTACTTAATTCTCAGAGTTGCAAATGAATCCAGAGATGGACCTATGTGAGAGGACAGGATGGCTAGAAGAACTGGCCTGACAGATGGAATTTAGCCTATAGGCTGGAGTTTACCCCTCTCTAAATTTAAAATGATGAAAAAGGAGCAGTTTTAAGTTTAAAAGCAGACCAAAATATGTTCAATCTTTACCCCTAATTATACTGCAAATATTTGTTTGATGAGAAAGCCAGTGGAACTTTGACAATAGATCTGGTACACTTCTGTTGGCTAATAAACATATTGCTTTTTTGTGATTTTTGTATTTTGTTGTATATACATTCTGAAGCAACTTTAATTGTTTTGTGGTCTTTGCCATCAGGAAGCAGATGTTTGTACTATGATACTGATATTTTGTCCTAAGCTGGAATTGGAAGAGCAACACTCCAATCCTGGTGTTTTCTCAAGAAAGGAAATATCCCTTCTATCTATTGTCGAAGGCTTTCATGGCTGGAATCACTGGGTTGTTCTATGTTTTCCGGGCTGCTTGGCCATGTTCCAGAAACATTATCTCCTGACATTTAGCCCGCATCTATGGCAGGCATCCTCAGAGATTGTGAGATCACAACCTCTGAGGAAACTTGCCATAGATACAGGCGAAACGTCAGGAGAGAAGGCTTCTGGAACATGGCCATACAGTCCAGAAAACACACAACAGTCCCTTCTATGACTTTCTAGCAGCTCTTTGCTGTTCAGAAACACTTGATTACAACTTAAAACATTTTGAGACTTATGCTTGTGAGAAGCAGGCAGCATCTATGTATGATGCAAAGAAAGGGGTGGTGAATATTTCCTCCTCTTTGACATGATATCAACTCTGAGGCAATTCTTACTTCAAGTCTGGATGAACAATTGGATGCTTCTTACCAAACTCAGTGAGTTGCACAATTATCACAACACCTACACAGCTTCACATCATTGTCTCTGGCCATGGGGTGGATGATAATAAGTGAGAGAAGAACATGAATTACTTGTAATACTTATATCTGGAGAGAGTCACTCTTCGTGATCCATAAAGCATGAATGGATCGTGAAGAGTGGAAAGATAAACACTGAAGTCTTCAATACTTTATTACTTACCCCAGTACTGTCTCCAATCCAAGAGAGGGATACTGAGCCACTGAGGTCATTAAAGATGCGCTGTAAAGAAAATTAATTATAATTCAGATCTCTGCTATTGAAACCTATGCAAGAAAGCAAATAACCCCTTACCTTTGCTTTTAGAGTGAAAGCATTTGTAAACAAATTGAATATAAAAAGTACAATTCATAAAATAAAGGTGTGAATGAAGTTTTTCTAGATCCAGGAATGTGATTGATATATATATATATATATATCTGGTGTTATTAACAAATAGTTGTGTATTTCCAAATGCAAGGAATAATTTGAGATAGTATATATATATATAGCAATATATATGCATTCAATCTCTCTACTGCTGGGTTTTGTTGGCTATGGAAGCTTGGGACGTTTTCTTGTAGGATCTCTTTCCACTACTTTGTAACCAGCCAAAAGACATGTGAGTGGAGTGTCAATTCTGTGTCTCTATCACAAACACACACAGGAAACTGCATGGGCTACAGGCAAGTTGTAATTACCATTGACTGGCCTCATTATTTTGCATATACTATCTCAAATTATTCCTTGCATTTGGAAATACCCAACTATTTGTTAATAACAGCAGTTTTAACTCATCACTATCCTTGCTTTCCAGCTGTAATAGCTTATATTTCCCATAAGCAAATCTAACTACAAACATGCAATGGAGCATCACTAGGGTAAGGTTAATGGGGATGAATTAACGCCCAGTGCATTAATTCATCCCCATGAACCTCCTCCCATATCAGACCATACAACATCCATAGCCATTTCTTTTGTTCTAATGTTGCTCATAAATTGTAATTACTATACTTCACTGAATGTAATTACAAAATCAGTGACTATAAAAAATCAGCAGCAATGAAAATAACAATGTGTATTTGTAGCACATGCAGATGAAACCACATGATTCAAACCTTCATTGCAAATGGCAATAAAGACAGATATGGATTGGAGTAGATGTGTATTAGAAGGTTCAACAAGGAAATTAGCACAGTCTTGGGCTTGTGGGCACATTAATACAGCACATTTAAGTTGGCAGAACTGTGTTTGTTGTAATTAACTGCAGGAAAATTCTTTCTAAAAACTAAAAGAAAATGCTGAAACACTGTATACACATTTTATAGACAGTTGTTTTGATGTTGCTCGGTATGGTTCACCTGTTACTTGCAACATGTTACAAGATGATAACATTTTTCTCAATGCTATCATCCCAAAGGAATATCTGTTACTAAGGGTGGAACGTATAATGTACTAGTGTACTAATCTGTCTCTATAGCATCTATGTTGCTGCTAAACCAGAAGTCTAAATTAAAACAATTACACCAAGGTGTCACTTAAGTGCCAAGCCATGGAGAAAATATAGGTATAAATAACAAAAACAATAACTATTATTACCATCACCAGTTCTTTAAAATTTGAGGAATTGTGACAACAAACCGCATTTTGTACCCTTGAAGTGATACTAATTAGCAATATATACCAAATAATATTGGTGGCTAGGGATTTCTATAGATACCAAACTGCTGATGAAAAGACATTTGAACAAATATACCAAAGAAAGAGAAACTTCTAATAGATGTACACAGATTTACTGAACACTGATAAAACGAAATATACCTCTAAAACAACATTATGAAAGATCACATTGAAGCTTTGCAAAACAAGCAATTGGACGGTCAGCATATTATGCAAATAGAAAGACTAGCTGAAACATGGAACATCTGAAAATAATTACAGAATAGTAAAAAAAAAACAAAGACATATATCTATAGCTCAAGAACAGGCACTTCTGTTAAACAGCATTCCAGGAAATATTTTAAAAATAACTAAGGATAGGAAATATAATCTATGTGATGAACAGTATGAAACGCTTGATCACATTAGTTCCTTCAGTAATTTTGCACGGACTGAACCTAAGAAATGCCATGATAAAAGTGGTTGCAACTGTATATTGGATATTTACAAAAAGTATACTCATCTGCAGGAAACTGGCAAGAACATAAGTCTTAAAAATGGCTGACAATGGCGAATTAAAAACCCTCAATTAGAACTTAATGTGTACATTATAATGTGGGTTGAAAAAATGTTTAGATTATAGATGAGGCACTCTCTGGGGATAACAGAATTGAAAATAGAGAAAAGATTATGAAACATCCAGATTTAGAAATGGAGAATGAGAGCCTCTGAAAGAAAAAGAAAACAATGGTTTCAGTATGAACAATAGGTGCTTTGGTAGCAATTTTAAACAATATGGCAAACTATTTGAATGAAATCATTATGAACAAGATCAGACCAGCACAAGTGCAAAAAGTGATATTGTTAGGAATATGCTATGTTATCCAGTAATACCTCTCTGATACCTGAGAATCCAAACAAATGGTAGAATATAAAACCAAGAACAATAACAAGGTGTTTGTGGATCTGTATACACTTTAAAAGGGGTGGGCATACTTACACCTATGTACTCAAAAAGCAGATATGGTGTATGCTACTGATGAGCCTCTGGGAAATCAGGTCCTAAGGGGACATCTGTATGCTACCAATGCCAGAGAGACACTGACAATACATGTCCCTCAACTATCAGAAAAATGTGGCTGTGTAAGCTTAGTTAAAGGCAGTCAATCAACAACCCTCACAAAATGGGGGGAGGGGCTTAACTTGCTTGAGAAGGAAGCCAAAATGAATGAAGGAAGAAACATTGCCCCAAAAGAGAAGAGAGGAGCCCTTAGAAGGATTGCTGAACTACTGCTGCTTTTTCTGAAATGAATGAGAGGAAGAGTAGTGCAACACCCCTGAAAGAATCGCTCCTGCAATGAATATGGTGAACATCCCAGTCAATGGCACCAGCTGCAGCTCCCTTGCAGCCTCTTTGTGCCAAGTTGCTGCCATCACTGCCACTGCCACTCACTCCACTGTCTTCTTCCTGGTTCTGCTTTAATGCTCTGGAAATTACTGGTGAGTGTCCCAGAGAAAAGGCCTATATGTGCCCCACACCCAACTAACACCCTTATCCAGGTCACTCCAATTAGGGCCTGCCAACCAAAGAATGTAAAGTGAGGTTCAAATTCACTATCTGTTGGTTCCCGCCTTTCCCCAAGTCCACACCATGCCATGCCAAGTCATGCAGGCTCCTGGGAAAAAGGAGTTAGTCCAATGCCATGGGTGGGTGGGTGGATGGAAAGCTGCACTATGCTCCTGAGCAAAGAAACAAATTCCCTACATGGTGAGACACACATTGCTTTTATTTATTTTAAAGCCAAAGAAGCTTGTGAATTTGAGAAAACAGATGTGCTAAGAGAGTGTGTAACTTTTCTGTTCTTATATTTTTTTTATCATGAAATCAGTTCCTTCAATGTTCTTTTATCCAAAGCAGAGAAAGAAAAGATGTTCCCATTGATTTCCCATTCTGCTCACCATGGGTGGAAAAGCAGCTCAACGAGGGCAATTTTAAGCTCAAAACTAATTAAGTCTTTCCTCTTCAAGTTAAATCTGCAGCCTAGGATTACAAATGATAATAGAATACATATACAGATAAAGGAACCATTAAAATGCAAATCGCATGTTCCATGAATCCACGTTTCCTGCAAGTTTTTACTCCTTGACATCTGTGCAATGGGAAGTAGAAGCTGTTCCTTATAATATATGCTTCCTACTTAAAGAGATGTGTCATTGTTACCAAAGCAAGGATAACAATTACAAATGCAAAACAAAGACAGGTCCTACCTGCACCTCAGAAAGGTCACCAAATATTATGTTTCAACCTGCTCATGGTGCTTTGCTTATATCTTAGCTTTGGCAAACACCTGGGCTCTGATCACCACAGCTGTCATAAACTAGAAAATATTGTCAACCAGGTCTTGCCTCTCCCAGACAGGAAATGCTGGTTTGAGAACAGTTATTGGTTATGTAGCAGCGATAAGCTTTAAAGTCCCCCAGGATTTGTACAGAAATAGGAAAGCAATCAAAGCACGCAACAGAAAGGGGAATTAAAAAGCTGTATTTGCAGCATTTAAAAGGTGAAGGGTTTTAGTCTTAATAATCCAGCTGTAACTGCTGATTCTAAGGAGAAAGGATGGTGTTAATTATTACACACCACCATCTATTTTCAAAAACATTTTTCCTAGGGTCACCAGTTCAAGTTTTATACATATAATTTGGAATACGATTATAGCTTGTTTTGCAACCTGTTCAGTACTTTATTGGGATGGCTGAAAGATAATGCATTTTAGGAACACCATTAGTAAGTTTAGAGATCACAGAAACAAAACCCCAACTAGGTTCGATGACATTCTAAGAGAATAATATCTGGCTCAAACAAGCCCCAGACTTCTCTGTGAGTTAGTGACATTATTTTAATCACAGGGGGCAAGGGAGAGTTACCAAAAAATACATTCTGTAACATGTTTGATTTGAAATGTGATTTAAGGAGTTAAAATAGAGAAACAGTATCAGCTATGAAAGTAGAACTGAGAAACTGATCAGTAAATGCTGTGAGGTTAAATTACCCTTCTTGGCTATGGAAACATGGCCTTAATTAGTAAGTAGCCTGCAGAAGGGAGAGGTTGCTAAGAACTATTTGTGTACAGACCACTCCTTGCTTGGCATGAAAGGGTCATGCTGAACTGTTTGAAACTGTATCTCCTTCAAAGATATGTTTAGCTTTACTAAGAAAAGTTAAACTACTGACAGAGTTAATGTTAAGAAACAGAGACAGAGATAACTTAGGGGGAAATATACAGTGAGAAAACTGGAGCATAACAGACCAAAGAACAAAGTATGGGTATCAATAATGATATGAATCAGACGACTTTATTAAGACATGTTACTCTAGTACATCACTTCCCTGACATCAAAGGCATATCCATATTATTCTATAATACTTTGACACTCTGCACCCATCACCGTAACATCCAAAAGAATCTGAAATGTCTTCCTTTGCTGTAATATCAATTAACACCTATACAAAGCTGTTAGTCACTTCATTAACTTCTGGAAACAAAGAATAACATGTCTATTGAAACATTCAAGTTAAACATCTC